TTGAATAACTGGACAACCGTTGATGGAATAGCTGAGTGGAAATATTGTTTAAATAGTGATGTAACCTTATATTTATGACGAATATTGGAACCGTTGTAAAATTATAATTTACTCTTGCAGTTCGCTCCAAACCCGAAATTGTAGGTTAATGCGCGTCCCGCCCAGTCCAAGTCCAGAAACGATAATTCTGGGAGAGAATGGTTCTATATTTAATCAAGGAAGGGAATTCAGACAATTACCAAAACAATATTACACCTTCGAGTTTCCAGTTACCACAATAGGTTCCGTTGCTGGAATAATAAGTGCTTCCAGTCCGTTACTGCTAGAGTATCAAATGCAAATATGACTGTAGCCATATTAAGTTTCAAATTTAAACAACATATATATAGTTCAGAAGGAAACATGGAAACTTCAATATAAGTACAAGATATAGAAATACTAACAAGATACAAATGATAAAATCTCAAAATGGAATCAAATAGAGTACCAAAATGTCAAACAGAAGAGTCAGTCATATCATAACACAGATATATATACATGGAGGGATTTTCCAAAAACAAAGCCTTCAAAATAGATTCTCTAACCGTTATCTACTCAAATCATTTGTTTTGATCAAGACGTGTTTCTAACCTACCTACACAGTTATTCCTCAATTCAAACCTTAGTTTGGATCCTATAGGTCACGTATGTTCAGAGTGAATTTTGAAATATTAAAAAGTTCAGAATAGTTCAAAGGAAGAGCAAGATTTTGAAGAATATAATTATATCAATACAGTAGGCCAGAGTAAATTAACAGTAGGTAAAACTGTCTACTTTACTCAAGGATTCGGTTTACTGATGTTTAATTCTATATGAAATTCGGTTTCTAGAACCGTAGGCTGAATTTGAGGGAATTTTATCAATAACTTTAAAGCTAAGCTTTTATTTGTGTGGTGACTCATATTAATCAGATGCTACATGACGGAGGTTCTAATTACCTTTATTTGTCCACAAGTCGTCTATTGGGGAGGATATTCCGAAATACGATGTAGCATTTTTCTAGTCGCCCGCCCTATATCACCAGCTCCGCATAAACAGTTGAATAGTAACTGCTAATAGATGAAGAGGAACTGGGTAATTTATCTTTACTTCGTGAACTCACTACTGGCCAGCTAAAGAATGTACGATGTAATTTATCTGAACTGGATGTATTTTCCAAGATACTCGTAAACGTGAACCTGTTTGCTTCGTAAATCCCGAATACCTTTTAGGTCCACTTAAAAACTTACGTCAGTACAAACAGTTTTGGCTCTAGAAGTCAAGTATTTGAATAAGTTTCTTCTTATATTATAGTGAGAAAATGCTTGAAAAGTGTGTATATTGGGTTAATATAGTTGATTTATGATTAATGACTCTAATTTCCCCTCCTCCTAGTTCCTTGTGCCGATGGAATGTTTGGAAGGGGATGCTTTCTTACTTCCCTTCCTCAACCGTCATGGTCGTTGCGTGGTGGAATCGATTCTCTCGAATTTATTACGGCTGTGAATGCAATATCGATGTAACAGCAAACAAATCCTAGTTTGCCTATCACATTTTGGTGAACATTCTTCTGAATATTTTTTGGAAAAAATTTTAATAAGATTTTAATAAAAGCACCTGAACTAGCCATTACACCAATTATAAATGAACGAAAATTCGTATTTATGAAAAAGGGAAAAGATTGCGTGATTTAGTTTGCCTAAGATATTTGACTCTTTATCTCTGAACTCTTATCGGATGAGCACAATACATTCTACTGAATAAATTTGGGTTGCTTATACATTTGTACTTGAGATTTCTAATGAAGAATGTATGTCTTCCCTTTGCTACCTTGTCTAAAAGAGCTTGCTTCTACTGGTTATCAAATGAGTAATAAGGTTTCTAAGACTCTCATGCTTTTAGTATACTCTGGGTACTAAGCAAATAATAAGGTCAGATTTGCCCATTTTTTTATGGTCCCGTCATACGAGTGATTCTATTTAATGTCTGCGAATACAAAATACTTCTTCCACAGACTGTCCAGAGGACCTTAATGAACACTTACAATAACTTCAAGGTGATAATGCTTAACCGAAGGCTTAGAACACCATATTGCGACCAAGAAAATGAAGTTCGAGATTTATCAGACTTATTAAGTTATAATGAAGTTCGTCACCGAAATCCTAATTAAGAGGTTAATGAATCCACTAATTGTATGACACTGTAGGTCATCGAAATTGAAGCGGACCTTATTAGTTTTCCAAGAAACAGACTTAGATGAAGGCATTTGATCAAGTATCTCTACGTGATCACGTTCAGTGATATCATACTTAGCGAATGCTAAAATAACTGGTTGCCTTATTTCTTTGTGCCACCAATATGAATGTTCAGAGTCAAATGGAGCATGATTATACTGCAGAAATGTATCGGTAAATATAACAGAAAAGACAAAGTGTTACGACCAAGACATAGGCCAGTCCATGGTGTGCAATTTACTAATCTGTGATTTTCATCAGTGTTCCTGTGAATATTTGATAAACTATTTATCGTTAAGTGTTCTGTTTTCTAGTAAGGGAACAAGTTAGCCTGAGAATTGATTTGTCTAGGTTTCAGTGACGTTTATGTGGTCCTAAAATTCCATACACTGTAATTGTATTTTCTATCGTGGCAGTTCAATTCGATTCCAATAGACGTATGTCGGACGCACTTCCCCAAATTTGAATATAAAAACACAATAATTCTAGGGGAAAATGGTCTATTAGTATATAATAAATCGAAATACAAACAATACCTAACGAAATTTACGCCTTCCAATTCAAAATTACTCTGAATGAGTATCAAGGTTCTGAGGTCTAGGTGAACTCCTATACTGCACGATATCAATCCAGAAATGTGGCGGTAGCCATGTTATATCAAATTTAAACAACATATGTACAGTTCAGAAGCAAACATAAAAACTTCAATATAAGTACAAAATATAGAAAGAATAACAATATACAATGATAAAATCTCAAATTGGAATCAAATGGAGTACCAAAATGTCAACAGAAAAAGTCCGTCATGTCATAACAAAAATATGTAAACATGGAGGGATTTTCCAAAACACAAAACATTCAAAAAGGATTCTACATACACTTCGGCAAACATACATTCGTATCCTTTCATTCTATAATTCAAGAACATCTGAAACTCAAAGCAACTACCAACCAACACTCAAGTCACAACTTTCAATGCGAATGTCAAGTCAGTACATATGGAGAGGAGAACCATGAAAGCCACCATCCGCAAGATTCAAGTATTTATTGACCATTGTTTAAAAAAACTTACTCTGGATCCGATGGTTGGAAACCATTAGAAACAACCTACTGTAGAAGTAAACAAAACAGATCCCAGTAGACGAAGAAATCAGGAAAAATCGCTGATTTTGGACCGAAGAGCACATTATGTCAAGAGTCGGTGGCAGACATGAAAAGAATATGTAGCAATCGGCTAGAACTAGAAACGAAGGTCGAGGATAGAATAGGTTGAAAAACGCTGGTCAGTTGCTTATACTCCACTGGGGAGTGACAGGCGTAAGCAAGTAAGTTAGTGAGTTCTAAACATCGGGTTTTGTTGATGAGCTTTTGATCAGTAACACTACCGAATTCCGTTTATCTGTTGGCTTCTTCACTCGGCTTCCGGCTTGTTTTTAAAATTTATATCACTTTCAAAATAATGTTCCGCGGAATCTTTTCAAGGAATTCTCCATCAGAATGAGCGCCAGGTATGGTAAAAATTCTCGTTAGAATTTTGATTTTTCAATAAGAAATTCTTTATTTCTTCAGCACCATTAGGTGAAACCAAAAGTGTAAGAAATCTTTACCATCTGGTGATTCTGCAAAACCGAAAGATCATCTATCAAAACAACTGTAAGAGTTGTTGAGTGTGACTAAGTTGGACATTCACCTTGCTGATAATTTTTTTGTGTAGGACCATGTCAAGGCTGATGATACTTTCCATTTTCGATAAAGATACGGAGACTAACAGCATTAAAGATGTTTGGCTAGTTACAACTAAAACATCCATTTGAAACTACTACAGCCTTCAAAAAATTCATTTGTACTGGCTGCTTGAATGTTTCCACAGTCTTGTATTCCCAAAACTAAGGAGCTGTTTTTTGTTTAGCATAACCGCAACCCACTGAGCTACAGAAGAATCAGAGGTGACCTGATTATGGCGTACACCATATTAAACACGTCCAACCATCCCAATGTGAGCATCTTACCGATGCATCACCACCACTCCCCTCGAGGCAATCCTCAAAAGATTGCGCATCAAAGAGCAAACACTCAGGTTCGTGCACACTTTTTCTCATTGCGAGTCGTCGCAACTTGGAATGCTCTCCCAGCCGAGGTAGTTACAGCCCCTCAGTGGACTGCTTTAAGAAGAGACTTGATAATCACGTACTCACATGCGGACTATCATCTCCCTCTTGGACAAGCTGTCCCTGATGCATATCTTGAGACCTGCTAGTTGTTACCATTGTCATCTCCTCAGATCACTTGATTAATTTAACTCGCCTATTTCTCTCCCTTGCTTACGCTTCGGTCCTCTCTCACAATCTTCACTACCAATTAATAAACTAAATTCATCAGTTCTGAAATTTTACTCATATTATCATTTTAATTTACCCTTATTACCCTTATTACTCTCCACATTTGCAACTAACTGATCTCCGGTTTGGTAATGTGACGGCTGCTAGTATCCAGAAGCCCTACTGCCCTGAAACAAACGTTTCATTCAAATCCCGAGACATACAAACTCACAACCAACTGCCAACTGACTAGAATTAGACAGTCGAGTGGCTAGACCTCCATCCATTGGACATTACCCAACACCTGGAACCGTACCGAAAGAAAAAGAATCAAGCGCGAAGAAATCAAATTGGTTTACACTAGCTCGTGAAAAAGATATTGGATATTGGATAAATTCAACCTTGGGAATCAGCCGTGAGATGTTTTAAAATGCTTGGTAGTCGGAAGGAGAAGTTCGCCTCAATATTTAAGAGGTTCTGAGCATGTATTTCATATCTGTGTATTAATCTAGAGTTAAGGGAATGATTGATAAAGGAGCCCTATCTTATGAAGACCGCCCATTGTGGTATGATGTATATAAAGCATTTCCTCCACGTGTTGATCCTTCGTATGAACGACCATGTCCCACGAACAAGGTGCAAAATATTCTATATCCTGAAGATTGTGAAAGAGCGTAAGCTTTATAGCTTTTCCAATTTATATCAGAGCTTTCTATGACGGTGAACACAAGCCTGAGGTATTAAACCTGTTTAAAACAGTGGACAACCGATCAACATTGTCTAAGTAAGTATTGCTCTTTCATAACAATGTTAGGCTTTTAAAAAAGTGTGTGAAACTGAGGGAGCTTAATCCAGACATTAGGTCTGAGGAACTTCTGTCTTTGGCTGAAGAGGAGATGAAACAAAGCGAAGTGATAACTAAACCGAATTTCAATAGCACTGAAAAGCTAGATTAGTATTTGTTAAATTGTACCTGTTTCTAAAATAAAAATTATTTTAGATTTGTTATTCTTTATTTCAAGCTTGCCTGAACTACTAGACAACAAGTATTTCTATTATACTAGTATGCACGAAATTGGGTAACCTTGATTTCGTGGAAATATGGGATATCGCAAACTTTTTTGGAAAGGTAGTGAGTTTACCTTCGGAGCGACTTGATTCCCTTATTATTGGTGGGGAGTTTAAGAATGGTTACAGCCTTCCTAATACCTGATGGTAATGCGGGAATTCTTTTTCAGCAGGACGTAAAAACTCTGAGTTAACTTGTACTAATTATTGGCAAAGATAAAAACGCACAGAAAAACTGCTTGAAAATAGTTAAGCCAAAATATTCTGGGTTGCGCCCGTTGAATATTTCAGTAGTTTGGCAAAATGAGGGAATGTAGAAGTATACCCATAGTCCTCACTCTTCCACATCACAACCTGAGATAATTCCGTGTTTTGTTACTATCTATGAGTGCCAAGATTATTTCTTTCACTTGTTCTATTACGGTTATACTCCATTGGTGGAAAGGCTGTTGATCGTTTTGCCTCAATTTTCACTTTTGGGCCTCTAATGTGGTATTGCGACTTGAACTGATGTACCGACGTACCAAGTTCTACGATTTCTATGATTTCTGGATCTGTAGTGTTGTCTTGAAAATGTTGTTTGTCTCAAGAAATTGTATATGCTGCTTTATTTTTACGTAAATTTCGAATTACGATTTTGCTTGTTCCAAAAAATCCTTCACATGTTAGTACGCTGATGCGATGGAAACACATGGAGGATTCCTAAAATGCTTTTATTAGATGAAAAATATAGGGCTGGTTTTTCACTGAAATTAAGGTGTCAATATATACACTAACCCTGGTTGTACCAGTTTAACACTTTCAACATTGTGTTTCTCGTTAGTGCCATTGTTAACAACATCGACTGCTGCGTTTGGCTATGTATTCAATAGCCTTCATATTACTAATATCTAAATAGCTCTGAAAAATACATGAGTTACTGGGAAAGACAAGCAATTAAAGTATATCTTCTAATGCTAAATCCTAATGCGCCTTGTAAGAATACATTACTTCCCAATCGATTTGGATAAAAGTGACCTAGCTACTGTGGATAAACTGAGAATAAATCACATAGCCAGCGAACATCTCCTTTTCACTTACCTTCATTAAGACGTATGAAATATCCGTCACAGAATCTTCCTTAACCAAAATAACAGTAGCGTGATTATGATCACTCGCACGTATCATTAGTTTCATCTGATTTATTTATCATATTATTTAAAATTGTGTTAACTTGAAGAGATCACTTTTTCTCTGAAAGTAGTGTACACTCAATCACAAAAAACCAGAAACTCACTCATTTACTCATTGTGATGTTAAAAATCTATTTTATTATCGACATTTTGTTGTCTCATACGTATCGCTTCGGTAATCTACGATGTTATTAATTACTAGGGCTTAATTTGCGGTTATGTAGGAACAATGTTTAATATTTAACCACTGTAAAACGTAGCATGTGTACTTCAGTACAACTTGCCACGTTGCATAACCACAGTGAGTTGAGGTTGTCACGTCTAAGTATTAGTATCAATTACAATAAAATGATTATGCATAGGATAAACAAAGTGTACGAGGAATAATTTCGAAATTCAGTATCTAAGAATAGGTAGAAAATTACACTACATCAGTCACGAGTATGGTTATGTCAATGAAGCTAAGAAAAATCGTTTATTGTTTCAAACTACTTCACTACATCGCCAACTAGACCAATGTAAATAAGTCCTAAATCAACATTTTGTAACTCCGAGATTACATCCAAACCATTCTTGAACTGGCTGTTAAGATGTTTGGGAAACTTTAATTTGTTGGTTATTTATAACAGAATAGGAGTATGGCATTTGAGTCAACAGAAATCTGGAGAGAAATAAACCCCTAGGAAGTCAGATGAGTATAAAGCTATCTCTAGAAATATGCTTACGGCTAAATCAGATAATAATGCTTATCGTAACAACCACTTGACTCAGTCAGTTCAGTCGAAAGTTATGAGTAAACTATGGCCGACCAATTGTAATTCTTTCCTATGGTGTACTGCACTTCTGGGGCCCGTAGTTAGTCACTAAACATTACCAGCAAAATATATCGATTTGTATATCTAAGCGTGATTTCTTAGTGGAAAATTCCATCCACAATTGAATATCAATAAATGTTCTACTTACCATAACCTGAAAAATTCAGATATATGGTCTTTATAATCACGGCATCTGGAGGCTGCTTGTCTTTCTAGAGTTTAGAATTCCCGACCTTACAGTCAGTACAGGGTTACTTTAAGACTAGGCAACCATATTTTGAACAAAACCACCATGAATAACTTGATAATTGTACACTGAGACTTCAAATGCTGTTAATCCACTTTACGGGCATTTGATTTGTTTTAACTGCGGAATTTTGCGTGTAGTAAATTGTGTGACATTATTTTTCAGGATTTAGTTTTCTTAGGCACTGCATCCGGATATCCGTCGCCTCATCGAGGAGCTTCCGGAGTAGTGTTACGTGACTTATGTTCTGGTTCACAATGGTTATTTGACTGTGGTGAAGGTGTACAGATACAAGCGCAAAAGTCATCTTTCGTCCACTTCGGGAAGATCAATTCTATTTTCATTTCACACCTTCATGGTGATCATATGTTTGGTCTTCCTGGACTTTTATGCACAATCGATCAGAAAGGTGAAGCCAATGTCGTATCGGAAGATGTAAACTCAAAAAACAGTGGTGCTTCCATAAATATTTATGGCCCCAAAGGACTTCGCCGGTTCCTTCGACTTGCTCTTGCTTTATCAAGGTAAGTTGTAATTATTATAATCCTTACTCACTTATTTAAACAGAAACACTAGTACAAGGGGGAACGAAATATGTATATGTTACTCAAAAGTGAGGTTCTGAAGAGGAAGAATAATAATAATAATGAAAATCACAAAAATAAATAGAAGTCACTGTATAAAAATAAAATAACGGTAATAATAGTGGAAGAAGCAGTTCAGTTAGTAAATACAATCAGAATCCTTTCAGTTAAAGAAGCTACTCTTGTGTATATAAAGAAAATAAAAGTAGGTTATAGCAGGACCGCCACTAGCTTTTATTCTGAGCTTTGTATGTTAACGTCTCAAGTTGCTGGGTTGCACCACCTCTAAGATCCCAACTAGGGAATCGTGAAGGACCAACAGATGCCAGCCCTGTACAGCTTTCATACCGAAACACCATGTCATACAATAAACACCTCCCCGCTTTTTCCATCCAGTCCCAGCCTTGGCAAATAATTCAGGATATGGAGTTCGCTGTGACGACATATGTGGCACATTTCCGAACCACCAAAGTTGGTGTTTCAAGATGGTGGTACTAACTGAATTATCATCAAGCAGAGAGTTGTTTTACATCAGCTCGGAGAGAATAGCTTTCACAAACATAAATTGAAAGCGCTCTCAGTGACTCGTTGTAAGCCAGACTTTTTACATAAAGTCCAACATGAAACAGGCCCCGAAGATTACCTAGATTGACATAAGTGCTCTTGTGCTTTCATAGCTACGTAGATACTTGGACTTTTCGACTACTATCTTTTCATTACCGTGAATGAGTGCAAGTTCCAGGTCCTGTCATTCTTGTAAAATTACTTAGCTCTTATAAAGTGAAAAGCACATGTAATAAATATGGACACTGATTGCCAACTGATTAAGTGCGAACTGGAGCATCATCGCACAGTAAGACAATATCATCAACTCACTCAGGGTCGAAAAGTCTCCCTCCAGTTAGAAAATCTACACCACTATTACTTAAATCAATGAGAGCTGATTCTAGAGCGTTGTCGATGAAAAAGTTGAGGGGGACTGGTGATATCAGGCAACCCTGTCTAACCCAACCACTTGAATGAGTCAATAGTTGTATGGACTCACTCTACCTGAGATGTCTGTATATAAAGACTTAAGGGTGTCAGTAAACTCCTCAGACACAGAGTTCCTCAATAGAAAATCCGAGAGAACTGTTTCTTCCAACGGATCGAAAGCGGCGCTGTTGTCAAGAAACGCGAATGTTGGCCTGCGATAAGTGTTTTAAGTTCTGGCGGAGGGTGAAGATGTAATCAATACACCCTTGACAGAACGTAAGTCATCCTGCTTCTCGCTAGTCAATCTTTCGTTTTGAACAGTCTGCGAAGTATGACCGAAGCCAATATAATCTGGACAAAATCAGTAGTAAACTTATCTCCTGATTGTTGTCGCATATATGACGTGAACCCTTTTTAAATATAAAGACAACTGTCGACTCATTCCACAATGTTGGAGCATTCTATAAATGCCAGACGTTGACAAACAACTAAGTAAGTTCTTTAACCAGAACATCGCCACCATCTTTAAAAAGAGCCGTAGATAAGCCATATGTACCTGGTGATTTGTAGCACTTCAAAGTTGAAGTTCCTTGTACACTTCTACCCCGTTGGGTAAATCACTCGTCACTGTCGTTGTAGGACAGGACACTATGGTCGGTGTCGCCACGGCGGCAGATAAGCTGAACCGTTCCTCGTAAAACCCTATCCATCGTCCACAAAGTTGGTAGGTGTTATTGATTGACATCCCATTAACTTCACAGATTGTTTCACTCACACTAGACATTTTGCTGCCAGTGGTTAATGTGAGTTATAAAAACTTCCGGCAGTTACGAGACCCAGCCTCTGTCTCCAACTTGTTAGCACGCTCTCGGTCCTCACGCAAACTTTGCACCATTTTAGTACGTATCAGTCTTCTTTAAACTTCAAGCTCGTGATTACACGAAGTAGGCCAATGTGCCTCAGCAAGTTGTAACGAGCCTTTAAAAATCCTGTGCTTACAACCGAGATGTTTCACAAAGCCTCAAGCGACTTTGCCCGCCATTTAAATAAAGTCATACACTCGTAATACAGTTCACTGGGCCGATAGTTAGTCTTGAACAAAACTCAGTTTGATATTTAGTTACAAGAGAAGTCGTTGTCGGTTTACTCACATCGTTCTGTTTAGAACGATGAATTTATTGTCCACTAAAACTGAGATAAGATGAACTGAAACAAGGGCATGATCAGAGTCCAGATAAGTACTTCGAAAGGAGCGGCAGTCTTGTACACAACCACGCCAGTCTAGCTCATCGCGATATGATCAATTCCAGTCCAGGATTGAAATGAGGGTAGAGGACACCAAATATCATATCGACGGTGATGGTGTGGACAGTTAGTTCTTGCTAAAAATAAGTTTTAATCTGAAAAGTCGCAGCAGACGACTCTCCTCTGTGCCTGGAAGCCAGACCATCGCATTCAAATTTGTGGCTATTAGTACAGTATTTTTGGACGCGCTTTCTGAAGATCACTTAGCTGGTGGTTGAACTCGACATTGATTGCATGTAGGCTGCAATATGTTGGGGCATAAGGAGAAATAACAAGAAGAAATCATTTCTCAAACCAATTTCTTCTCGCTTTGATGGAGCTTTCTGATCTAAGAGCACATAATCGACTGTTAATGGAGATCAAATTGATTAGCGCTGCCTTAGCTCCAGCGCTCAGTGTGATATCAACTCCGGTAAAACCAGGCAAAGATGCCACATGGTCTCCGGAAAAACTCGTCTAAACTAAGATCTAGTAACGAATGGGAGCGAGATTGTAGTACTTCCCTAGAGTTTTGAATGCGGGTCTCGGATAGACAACATACATCTATATCCAAACTCTCCGAATACTTAATGAAACCGCCCTGTTGTCTGATCTGTGTTGGTGTGCGGACAGTAAAGGAATCCAGTTTGAATGGCATATGTGGTTTCAGAAAGACTGGTTGTTTTATGTTATGTATTTCACATTCCAAGAACGTAAAATTGTATGTAATTATCATGTGTAATAGGCTCTAATTTACATTTTGTAATCGTTTACTTGGTATATGTGAGTATGATATGCGTTAGAACGCCACTAATGTTCGATATTTTCATTTGTTTCAGAGCTAATTTGAGCTACACATATGCTGTTCATGAGTTAATAATGGAAGAAAAACATTGTCCTCCGAATTGGCAAGATTGGGCATGTCTAGAAGCTGATATAACTCGAGACCCTCCATTATTTTGCGAACTTCCAGGTCGAGACATTTTTGCGAAAACTGATGGTACGGTTTTCTCACATACGTCATAGTTATAAATAAATCTATCTATTTACTTATTTTACTGTATGTAAAGGGAAATGCATCATAACCCCTTCCTAACTTAAAGTGGGACTCATATCTTCGTTTTTGTAGTGGTTCAACCGCTGTTCTACTGTTTTATCACTATATTATAGGTTTAGGTGTAAACGATGTCAACCCGCAGACAATCGATTTAATTCAGAGCAGTATATACATAGTTAATTGATTACATCTACTATTTTCAATTAGAAATTTAAGAAAATATCATGAAAATTCGTTATTTTGGAATTACGGCGATTTTTTAAACAAGACAATATGTTTGAAGTACATCGAGTTTACTAACTTCATTTAGTTAGTGTGTAGAATTTAGTCAGAACTTATCAAAACATAATTTTGAAACAAATTAGTTTTCTTACTTAAAATTACAATGGTGTACATCTTCATTGGTAATTCTTGGTACTAAACTTAACAATAGATAATGACTATACGACATTGTAGAGCGAAGAATAATTGTGCTGAGTCTAAATCATTGTCCTAAGTGCTTATTCTGTAGTTCTACTTTGCTTCTTTCGTGGTTTAATTATTCAAAGTGAAATTCTACGACAGTAATGGGTAATGTGCATCAAACGACCTCAATGAGGGGTAAATACTGAATTCCGTCCCTAGTATCATATGTCTCAATGGACAACAGGAATACCAAAAAAATATATAGTCTGCGACCGTGAAGTATTGATTGGTCAAAATACGCAACTTTGAGTCGTACGTTTTCGACCAACTTTAAGAAACAGTAGAAAATTGACTATTTAGGTTTAATTGATTTGGGAAAAAGATAAACAGTCCAGAATAAATCAGAGCCAGAAACAAGTAAGCTTATACCTTTAGGACAAGTGTCATAAAAATTTAATTGTTCACTTAGCTATCTATCCCCTGTAATTTTGCTTTAAAAGTAACTAAAATTTTATACTACTATAGTTCTATAATAGCTTGTCTAAGTTTTGAATCATGTTACATAGTGCTATGTTTATCTGTTTTAAAGGTTTCTGGTATAATATTACAAATAATGAAGAAAATTGTGAAATGGTGCACGCAATGTCTATAAAACACACGATTCCTTGCTTAGGATGGCTAATAATAAAGCCAGATCATTCACCTTCCCTGTGTGTTGAAACAGCTATGAAATTAGGCGTTCCTTGTGGACGATTAATGGGTGAACTAAAACGAGTAGTTTATAATTTTTTTCATTAATTTGATTTTGTGACATTGCATAAGTACTATAATGAAGATTCATTTACAATTATTAGTAATATAAGTAGCAGATATATGAGATGACTCAGTAACATTTCTACTGCTATGCTTCTGTTTAGAAGACTGCGGTCGTTTTGATCTATGTGTTTATAACCCTCGGCTGTTTATTTATTTGCTCAGATGTTACTAAGTCAATTTTTTTGCATCTGATTATTCACATAAGCGTTGATACAATTGAAACACTTTATCATCTAATACAAGCTTTTCACTCTGTTATGAGTTGTTTGGTTCATAAAAGTGAATGGTGTGAACAATATTACATCCTCATTCATTGTATTTCATATTCACGAGGCAATTTAGCGTGTTATTGGAATACTTTCACCGATTAGTTGATTTAGATTAGTATATTTGTTCAGTACACATTACCGATTGAAGCACAGACTTAAATGATTTTATCTTCTCATATATCATTTCCTTCATCATACAGAAAATATGTTTATCATATTAAATCAAGTTACCACTTACAACAAGCCGTCAGGGCTGTTCACTTTCTCCATTCTTGTCTAACTTTGTCATAGAAATGCTTTTAGAGATAACATTATCTTCGCCTGACTTCTGAGGGGTGGACTTTCTATCAGGAGGCTCGCTTGTTGACTAAGAATGTGCTGATGATGTAGTTCTATTTGGTGAAGACGCTGATAAAATGCTGAGGCTTCTGACAACCCTAAGCAAAAATGAAAGCATGTTCTTGATGCGGTTCTCACCCTCAAAATGCAAAATTTTGCTTCAAGATTGGCTTGCATCGACACCTGAACTAGTGATAGGGAATGAAGTAGTCGAACGTTCAGACCGCTTCACTTATCTGTGGAGTCTAATCAATGCTAATGGCCTGATGACTGGCGAAATCTCAGCACCGATACAGAAGGCTCGACTGGCTCTCGCCAACTTGCAACCATTTCGATACTCATAATCATTGAATCAGTTATTCAAATTATATATGAATTGACTATTTCTTAAAACATGGTATAATTTTTGAATCTGATACCATTACTAAATTGATATCAGAAATCGATTTTCATACTTTTTGTAGGGTAAAACAGTTGTAATTGATGGTAAAACAATTCAACCTGCAGATGTATTGAAACCGCGTTTAAGGGGTCATCGTATTGCAATCATGGGAGATACTTATGATTCTTCTGAACTTTTACACCTTATGCAGGTTTTGCATACTTCGAATAAAATTACTTCTATAACTCTGGATACTCTTGTACATGAAGCTACTTTAGACGATAATTTATATGAGGATGCACTGAGCAAAGGTCATTCTGTACCAAGTGTTGTCATGAAATTAGCCTGTCAGCTCAATGTTCGTCAGCTAGTTTTAACACATTTCAGTCATAGATATGATCGAATGAACTCTCCGGATGAAAATACTACAAAAAGTAAATTCATTTTTTATCGTTATAAAAATATAGTTTCATTCAATAAGGTTTATTAAAATTAATTTGCTCATGATTACTGATGTCGCCTCATGTCACTGAGTTGTACCATTGATCGGAACTAACACTAGCAGAATCTCAATAATGATACAGTGAGTAACTGACTAGAAGTCTACTCAATTTAGTTATTTTTCCAAAGCAACCACAGCTGCAGTATTTAAGTCAGCTGACTGTAAACTTCTGAAGACTGTCATTGAAACATAGATCGGTTAGTAAATTTGGTTATTGATGAGATAAACTATAAGTTATGGTGGTATATTGAGCTAATATTTGTACACAGATAATACTTTCCGGACTTCAATAAGAGTAATCACTGGATTCAAAATATGTCCTTTTAAATCCTGATGTATTGATCTGCAGGTAACGTGGTTGCTATAAGGACAGATGGTATATTATTATTACTGAAGATCACCATACAAGGCCAAAAGTACTGTTCAGTATTCCAATGATTCTCCTGTTTGTACCAGTTGGACGAAAATCATCAAACATAATTCTCCTTTTGTTTTAAGTTATGGTTGTTTTCATGAACAGCAAATCATATTTTGTGCATCGTCATTATTCATTAATTTGGTATTAATCACACACAAAAATCGATATACACTCAAGGAGACATAATTCGTGATTCTTTGAGATAACCGAGAATTACAATATAAAAATTGCTAGGTAGTGAGAAAAGCTTCATATGACTCATAATCCATAGGTCACAAGCAACGAAGTATTTTATTTACTTCAAAGCTGTACGCTTTTATTACTATTCACCTATTCAATTTGAGAGTTTATCTCTTCGTACCCTACGTTACATATATCGCTGCGGTACCATTACGCACATTGTTACAGTGTTTAACTATTTTTATTAAGCTTCTAAAAAGCTAGATTATGGCACTCTTCAAAATAAATTTAAGCGTTTAGTAACTATTAATCGAACACACAAAGATTGTTCTGTTTTGTTGGTGTGTTAGCTTTTCCGGCAAATCGATATATCATTGGTTAATACTATTCATTTATCATTACTTTCAAAAATCTTCACATATCTTTTTAAATGTATTTTCTTACAGATGAAATTGATGAACAGGTGAATGATTCAGAGAAGCCTAAAAGTAATAAGAAAAACAAACCAAGCTTACAAATTATCCTAGATCAAGCTAAATCTACAGATTTCACAGGAGATATCATTTTGGCTGATGATCAACTTTTAGTTAAAATTCCCCCTGTAACACAGTAACAATATCAGTATGCAAATGTTTATACTTTTTGGGTTGTTTTTTCTTCACTGAACTGATTTTCTCCAAATATCGCTTTTACATGAGTATCAGTGCACAAGATTTTTCAATAAAAGATTCATCTGGACCTACTCAGATACACTGTTTTCCTTCACTAACATCCAAAGTCGCTCATTTCTCTTCTCGCTAGTAATATAAGTGAATTTATATAAACAAGTTCGAGGGGCCAATTTGGATAGCACTCACTCTTTGAGTGGCAATGAATTTTAGCAATGTGATCAGATTGAATTTTGTCATGGTTTCTCCTGACCGTAGTTGTTACCGTGACGTGGTGGTCGGGCTTGCCTATCGTGATGACCAAACCGAGCTATATTGGCTGAAACATATGTTCCTGAAGGTTCTACAATGCCAGGCAGGTCGATTGGAGAACAATGAGACTAAAAGCAGCTGCTCAAGGTCTGAGGGCGAAGTCGTATTGCTGACTGCAGAGGGGTGTGACAGCAATAAGGTGTTTCCGTCGGACAACCAGTATCTGCAGTGATGCTGCCTTCTCACAAGGAAAGGAAGGGTTATAAAAGGTCGATCCTGAAAGTGTCACACCTTACCCTTCCTCACAGATTTCCGTCTCGGGCAGTAAAGGCTTTTAAACAAGAACGGAGCTAACACTGTAAATGCTACCCATAAAAAGGTCGGCCTCAAGCAATTTTCCGTCGGGATCTGCGGTCACGCTCACAAGTCGTTAAGACCAACACTAATCTATCTTCCTTTTCAGGCTCCTCAAGAAACACCCACGGTGTGAGCAGCCGGGAATCGACAACCACCCACGTAGCTGTAACAACACACGAGACTAAATTGTTCACAATCAAATCCTTCGTACACCCCATAACATCCCCCCCATCTTCACGACTAACTCTTCTTACATTCGTTTATCACCCCGCACCTCTGCTGCAAACGATTTGAGTTCCCGATTCCTGGTCTCCTGAAACCTCATTCTAAATTGCATGTAGGAGCATTTAATGTACGAACATTGTATCAAATAGGGCAACAGGCTTTGTTAGCTAGGACTTTAGAATCTCGAACCATCGATGTATGCTGGGTCACCGAAACGCGCACACGGGATCCGAGTAGCCTCATTCACTTGACGTCACCATTTCAAGATAATGAAGCAACTCGATTTACCCTTCATGTATCTGGTAGACCTGCTGCTGCTGCCCTTGTCTCGCTGGTATAGGTATAGCAGAGTCCTAGGGCAGAATTAGCTCTCATACACTGGATCCCAGTAGATAGTCGCTTGTGCGCTGTCCGACTAAACGGGACAGTAAGGACTCGGAAGAATAGGGACACTCGCCGTTGCTTCCTCGTCGTATCTGCCTACGCTCCCACTGACTGCAGTCCAGACGATGTGAAACATGAGTTTTACAGAAAGCTTTCGGACCTCCTCCAAAAGGTTAGGCACTCTCATACAGTAATAATGGCTGATGACTTCAATTTTCAGGAGTAGACCTTCTACCACAAAAATCGCTTGCTGACTTAGAATATGCCGATGACATGGTCCTACTTGGTGAAGACGCTTACAAAATGCAGATTCTTCTGACCACCCTAAGCAGCAATGCGAGCATGTTGGAGATGCGGTTTTCACCCTCAAAATGCAAAATTTTGCTTCAAGATTGGGTTTCATCGGCACCTGAATTAGTGATAGGGAGTTAAATAGTCGAACGTGTAGACCGCTTCACTTACCTCGGGAGTCTCGTCAGTGCTAATGGCCTGGTGACTGACGAAATCTCAGCACGGATACAGAAGGCTCGACTGGCTTTTGCCAACCTGCGTCACTTACGGCGCAGGCGAGATACCCGCTTGAAAATCAAAGGACGAGTGTACTGCGCAGCAGTGCGCTCCATCCTACTATATGGCTGTGAAACATGGCCAGTGAGAGTAGAACATATTCGTAGGTTATTAATATTTGTTTCTAGATGTCCTCCAAGTATTGCTCGAGTATCGTGGGACAGCCGAGTAAGCAATGATATCGTTAGGAACCGAGTACTAGGTAAAGATGTCAAATCAATTGATGAAGTAGTAAAACTTTATCAGTTGAGCTGGTTGGGACATGTGTTACGTATGCCCAACCACCGACTGCCTTGACGAGCAATTTCTGTGGTGTAGGAGTAGGTTGGAAGAAAGCTAGGGGCAGCTAGACCAAAACATGGCAGAAATCCATGAAGTTACTGACAAGTGGACTGAGTCATGTTGGTAGATGTAGGCTACCTGGTTGGGGTCCGCAAGACGTATGTCACCAATGGTTAGAGACCTTGAACGAAATGGCTCAAAATCATTTGCGATGGCGCAACTGCATTCATTCTTTGTGTTCTCTCAAATCCTAAACTTTTTATTTCTTCATCAATTTATCCTTATCTTTTTAAGTCTATTTCACTAGATTCTACTTCTTTAATAGTATCTTTTAATCCTAACCTCTCTGACTGCTGCTAATACCTTTACTACCTCTACTACTATTGTGTTTGAATTGACAATTACCTCTCTGTGCTAATGTAGTGTGGCAACCTGAACTGATGTACGTACATACGAAGTTCTACGTTGCTATTGATTGATTGGTGACTTCAATGCTCAAGTAGGTGGACTAAGTGAAAAGGAAGGACACCTGGATAGATCTTATGGTATAATGGCGACCGTCGTCTGCAGCTATGCTCAGACAACCGCCTATTTCTAGCAAACACTAACTTTAAAGAAAACCATCTCTTGACCTGGCGACCCCCAAAGTCGTCCCAACGATGGACCCAACTAGAATACATCGCTATCAGGCGTCGGTGGAGAGGATCCATCGAAGACCGTCGCTCATTCTAGAGATCGAGACTATGCTCTAATATGAGTGCGTATTTGTTTGCGTCTCACTGGACGAAGGAAAGATACCGCAAGAAAATCTCTTAGGGTTCTACTTAATGATGACAAAGCTAAGAATATATTTCAGGAACAATAAGAAAAACGCAGCCATGTAGTAAGTGATGCCCATCCCGAGACAGCTTGGGATGATATCCAAAAGGCTGTGGGAACGGTAGTGATATCTGTTAGTAAGGTATATTAAACGGTTAAGAAAATGCCGCGGATCTCAATAGACCCTCGGAAACTCAGCCGCCTGTCTCTGAACATAACGAAGAGCGAAGTCAGCTTCAGCGCAGACTGATAAAAAGCCTTCGCAATGATCGCAAACACTGGCTGGAAGCGAAAGCGATTTGGATGGAAAAGGCAGCAATGATAGGCAACAGCAAGCAACTATTCAGACTTACCAGGGAAACTGGTATTAGGATCCCGAATGGAGACCCTGAATGACATGGCTCAAAACCGTTTGCAACGGTGCAGCTGCTGCTACTCTTTGTGTTCTCTCAAATCCTAACCTTCTGAACTCCTCATCTCCTTTATCTTTTTATTTCTAATTTTACTTCACTATATTCCACTTCTTGAATAATATCCTCGAACCCTACTTTCTCCGATTACTGCTAATACTTCTATCTCTACTACTATGGGATTTGATCTTATAATTGCGTCTCTGTTCTAATGTCGTATGCCAACCTGAACTGATGTATGTACCTACGTTTAAACTGACTGCCTTTCTATCATGCAGTTTGACTGTCGATTGATGCTCACCCATTCGATCATTAGGGGACGTCCACTTTATCTGATATAGTGCTTCTAGCCATTGGAACAGTTCATTTTATAGATGGTGTTCGGTTTTCTGTCATTTTGTTCTTTAGTTTACAAACGATTGATTGAAATGATTTTTCTACCTCATCTGTTCCAAACGGCTTCATTTGAACAATGATTGTGCGCAGGTGGTTTCGTGATTTCCTTGGTTGCTACTGCTGCAGTTGAGAATTAGATCAAAGTGTGTTTGCTTCGAAATAATTAAGTCTTCAGTTTCCCTGCATCGATCCTGGTGATCAGTACATGCGAGAATAATAGTTTGTTGTTCGAATAATTTTCAATTTGTGAATTTTATGCCATCGAAGTTATTGATATGATTGTTTTTTCAAGCTCATCCTTTTTGATGATGGCGAATGTATCGGCCATATAGCGAGCTCATATTTTTGATTTGAATTTTGGTAGAACTGAAGCTTCCAGTTTCTGCAATAAGTCCTGATATTGTTGATCCCAATGATGTTCCTTTCGTTTGTTCGTAGATTTTATTGTTTTTGAGCCCAAAACGATACGTTCTAATAGACTTTGAAGTTTGATGTACTTTGGGGGATTTGTGTCGTTGGTGAGGAGCAAGGATAGCGTTTCCTTCGCTAAACTCGATTCTGTTGAGGTGTATAAGGCTGTTATATTGTAGGATATCATCAGTTTGTCGTTGTTGTTTGGATCGCCTAAACCTTATCCAGGGATTTTATGGGAGATTTGATGGAATGATCGGATAAACCAACTAAGTGCTTCCATGTGCTTGGACTTTCTCTCGACAAATCCTATGTTGAAATTCCGGAAAAGGATACAATTAGACGTAGTGGTATGTCAGTTTTGTTTAGTTTCTGCCTACTGTAGAGTCACAGGAGCACTGATCCACTGGGTTTCATTCTCCATTGATCTTGTTTTGATATTGTGTCTGCTTTGAAAAGTTTGCTTAAAGTCTTTGCAATTTGGTTGTCTGACCTTTTGATTGGATTTGTAAACGCTTTCACTCGCAAATAGTTCTTTATCTTTCTTGATATATTCTTTTTTATTCATAATTACTGTAGTCTGCCCGTTATCCTCTGGAACTATGACCGTATCTTCCTTCATTCTGAGTCTCTTCAAAGCCTTTTGTTTTTCTGCGATCAGCTGGGTGTTGTCTCTCTTTAGCGAGAAGGCAAGACTGGGATAGGAAGTCTATTTGGCTACTTAATAATATTTAAATACATTCCACCTCCTTAGAAAACGAAGTCATTCATCATTAAGACATTTTCTCATGGTCATTAATTAGCCTTTTCATCAGTCCGCCTCTGACTGGCTCATTATATCAGTTACTAGACTGTTGTTCATTGGAACTTACGTCATAATCAGGAATGCAACTCCTTAAAGTACGATAATTTCTGGATGCGGAAGATTATTGACCCTGAGTTTGGAACCATCCAAAACCTGTTGATTTCGAGGACAGCAGGTTTGATATAGCACACTTCGTGTACCAATCTTACGGGAAGCGCCTGAATCCACAAAATGTATTCAATATGCGACATAAAATGTTCACACACGCCAACCTAGGCGAGCAATGTTCCTATTCATAATATGACTGGTAGATCGTTACACTAAACTGAAAACTCATATCACGTCACTAGATGGGTATTGCGAGTATCAAATAAACGAAGAAAATTTCTTATCACGTCACTAGAAGAAAATTATCTTAAGTATTTTTTCTTCGCAACTGCCGACCAAATTACTGATTTCGACTAATGATCAAAAATTGTTTTCGTATCAAATTGTGGCTTCGAACATGAATTTGGTGGTTATACCTGCCTTGTATAAACACACCAGATTTGACTCATTATTTTTAATGCATATTTTTGGTCCAAAACCGCATTAAGCACCTACCTAGCTTAATTACAATGTTAAACTTAATTCAGTTACTTACTGTGTTTTTTTATAAAAATCAATGTAAAATGGGATTCGAATTAATAATCATAACCTGGACAAGTTGAGCAATAAAACTATTAAAATGGAATAAAATGTACATAATCGGCAAAACAATTACCAAACATGGATTTTTAAGTAAACATAATTGTTTATTCGTATTAAATGTGTATGTTTGTAAACAGGTGAAAATTCGAAATAAATAAAAAAAATTTTATTTGTTCTGCTAAATATATACATATTATCATATTCAAGATGCTATCATGTCTTCTTTTTCTGTTTTGATAAACCTGGTTTAGAGAATATTTGTTTAAATCCACCGCCATGAGTTGATTGGAACTTCATATTTTGTGGATTGGTTGTTGACCACGGTGAATCGAATACAGTTGTGTCTTGATCAACCAAATGTGTATATTTAGTCCGACCAGCACGACCAAAGTTCTTAACCTAAGTATTAAAAAGAATATTTTATTTACAACTAACATATAATCCTCTTCATCAACAAGACAGGGGAAAGTACGCTGTCTAATTTATGCTATCCATTTAACTGTAAGGATTGGAGTCTACTGAGCTGAAGTGTTACTGTAGGATTATGGACATATGACTAGTATTTTGTGAACAATACATTCCAAGTATCAATCCTAACGTCCTATTTTTCTATCCTAATTGTTGTTTATGAGTTATATCTTTAATGTTTAGGTTTCTGCTTCTTTTAATAACGTTTTTATGTTCTAGGTCCTATGGTGATAATAACTAACCCCATTTTGGAAGGTGGTTATGGTAAGAAGGGATAAAATATTCCCCTTACTAAAGCAAACCGAATTCAGCGCTGTCTTTTTAACTGAAAATTAATTCAAAAACTATTATCATGAGGTTAATAAAAGTTTCATGAATATTGGAGTCACTAACTGTGAAACCGCTATTATTTTCCCAATAGTCAATTTACTAATCTGATCAATGTAGTTAATTTAAATGCATCTGGTTTGACGAGACAAAATAAAGAAGTGGTCCGGATCATGATTATATAAAATGAGTATATCAACTGGATAATCAACTCTCGACTGTCCGAAGAAAATAATTCCAAAAAATAAATCGTTTTGTGTTCTAGACTAATATGAATTTGTCGTCCATAGTAAACAGATGTAACATATCCCTGAAAGTCCTTCTAAATACATATTTTTGAAGAATGAATCTACATTAAAAATCAAACAGCAATATGGCATTATTACATAGTGTAGTCATTTATCGTTAGGGGAATAAATACAATAAAATTAGTATACACAATAACTTCAAAACAATTTACGTACCTGATAAATGACTACTACAGAAGCTCTTGTTTATGAATCTAGCATTTGCCTTACATTCTAATTAACTCTGATTGAATGTTTTTCTACTCACTATGTTACAAAATTCTGACTACGATAAACTAACGAGCTATAAAATATCATGATTATCATATTAAACCTTATCTTTTTGAATAGTAAAATGTTCAGCTAAAGATTAATTTACTCAGAACCATCTATAACAATTATATACTGCTTTTAGTACTTTGCAGTATAATTCTGTTCTAGTTTTTGACCAGTTAAAACATAAATATTCACGAAGACTAATTTGTCCATTTCACTGACCTGCATAACACTAGGCAACTTGGTTTTGTCGAAATGATCTTCCAGAGTAGGCTGTGTAAAGTCTTGTTGAAACACTTTGTCCTCCAATGAAGTAACATAGAAAGCTCCTCGGTGAAAGTACTTCTGTAAAAATTTATATTTGCCCTTGGTTGTCTTGTTTGTGATAACTTTTGGATTTCTTATGAATTCTTCACGTCGCTGTTCATCAGTCATATTACGTATTCGTTCAATCTAAAACAATAAAATGAACATTGTTAAATTTGAATACATTACTTACATTACTATAATTGGGTTAATTTGGCAAATTGAACATTCGATAAGATGGGATTAAAGAGATAATGGGTACTTATATGTCAAGCGATCAATTCATCATGAGTATAAAATATATTTATTTGAAGGACAACTACGCAACTTGAACGCTGAACAAACTACTCATTTTTACGGATATATTTACACTACATAATAGAATTCTGTTTGATAACAGTAAACTGCTGACAAATAAGCATTTCACAAAATTCATACTAACTAGTTTTTGTAGTCTAGGAAAAATGTCTGGCGGAGTGATTCTTGTACATGTCTATGTGCATAAAGCGAATGCGGAAGTGTTTAGCAATATAGGATAATACCAATAACACTCATACTAGAAACGTATAAAATAATACTAGAATTTATGAGATCAAAGGCAAGATAAATGATGAAAACATATGCATTACTGAGACCGAATTCAACCAACATTTCAATGAAATAAGATAACAATTAAAATGTACAGTAGTCTTTCTTTGCTTGAAATGGAGTTATATCTTACTTCAGCCTTTTCTTGCAGTGCTGCCTCTCGAATTTCGCGATCTCTTCGAATACGTTTCAGTTCCCTAACTTTCCATTTCTCATATTCTTCTTGTTCAGCTTGAGGATTGCCTTGACCTTCATCAGAATCTATTGCATCAAGAGCATCTTCTAATGCGTGGGCCTCTTCAGCTTCACGGCGTAACTCTGTTTCTAGTAGCTAAATGGTCAGTATGAATAATAAAAGTAACAGGAGATTAATGTTTTTATGTCAGCCCTTAGAGATTAAAATGATTTAAAATAAGACTCATAAACTGTCGTCCTTAATTTTTTAAAACAATAATCCATTTTATAAATTTTGATAGAACAGTGAGAAGACGTAATTGATTTCTTGTTGATAAGCTGAGCCTCGTTTTGTCTACAAATGATTCCATTTCCTTTAATAGTCGATACCGTAAACAATTATAATATTTATTTCTATTTATATCAGTTTTACCGTTACGAAGTGGGTATGCCTTGAACTTATTTGACATAAAACTGCAGGACGGCAATTTTCTGTAGCTTATTAGCAAAATTCATTTCTTCATTGACCATTACTTTTGCTAGGAAGATATTTGAATGAACGAAACATAGACTACTATTAGTTTTGACCGAGTAAATCATTTAAATATTTTGCTAGTCACGTGAAGCCATGGACATACTCGTTTCACTGCACACTTAATTGTCTGTGAAGTAGGAAATTCCGGAAGGGCTCGATATCTGTCAAGCCTTTCTTTACATATAAGCACTGTAAAAGGCACAATGAAATGCAGTTTTTCGACAACTACAAACACTCAAAAGTAAGAAACTTTATACCTAGATCTCCAAGTTTTCCATACGTTGCGTATAGAAATCTTAAGTCCATATAAATACCTCGGATTAAAAATCACGAAATTCGTTGTGAATTAAAGATATTAAACAAATAAAATTCAAAGGATATTTAATAATTAATTGGAAATTGGCAACGAGATTTAGAAATATAGAACAGTGTACCCCAAATGAGCACTCACTGCCACACATACTAAACTCCGATGAGTTAAAAATTTGAGACTGACGTCAAAATATATCCTAATATACAGGAAATTTCGAATTGAATATGACAAGTTGAGAAGTTAAATTAACCTTAAGTGTTGTTCTACGGCGCTCTTCTGCAAGTCGTTTTACTTCTGCTTCAGTCTCCTGAGCGAGTTGCTCTGCTTTATGTTTGGCTTGTAACGTTATTCGATCGCGTGCACGTACAAAGACTGGTTTTAATTTAGGAGCAACTTCATCATCTGAACTTGTATATTCCTCTTCTGAATAACCCAATTCATCTTCCGCTTCCAGATCTTCATGGACAGCGTCGTTACGCCCATCTCCACCATGTTTCTCTGCCTCGGCATTTATTTGAGCAGCTAATGCTTTCTTACGAATAAGCTGCAGTGAAAGCAGGAAAATTAAAGATAGGATTTAATTGTCCTCAATCAATGGATCACTAGTAATATTAGTTTTAACTGTTTAACAATCCCCATCGTGGTAAAACACAGATATGCAAATGAAAAATATTTTCACAAACTTTTCTTTAGTTTCTACAATCATCCAGATTAACAATCCAAAGTGACGAGGTTTAAGGTAAAATACATCATCCCAAATTATGGCATAAGCGTATAAGATCATTAGTGATATGAAATAAAAATCGCAAGTGTTAAAATGGCTAACATGCAGTGTTAACTAGAATAAGCTTATATGTGAAATAGAATTGTAAGAACAAGTATAGGCCCAACAGAGTGGGAGAAATAATGATGAAATTATAAGTCTGATCAAGTGTTTTGTGAAATGATATATCGTACCTAGAGTTATATGTATTCTGTTAGAAAAAATAAAGGGAGGTGAGTGCTAACATAATTAACCATGCGTTCAGGAAATTAATAATGATGTTAAACCAACAGTGGTGACAGTAATAATAACAACAAAACATGGGAATAAAAATGAGAATATATTTGACTAAGAAAGGTAGTATGACACTTATTAAATCATCTCATTCTATAGTGATTAACTGTAATGGTTTACGATGGTGATATACTTAATAATTGTCCCTGACTTTAGTCAACTCAACACTAACAATTTTATTTTATATCACGAACGATCTTGAATTCACATACCATAATTTGAAATGAGGTATTTTGCCTCAAACTTGGTCAGCTTTTGGATCATTAATTTTGATAAATAATTGTAGAACCTGAAGAGAATTCACTGAAAAGGTTTGTCGTTCATTTAGTAGTCTTACAATCAGTTCTATTTTTTAAACAATCCTATGGTACATGTAAAGCAACCATCTGTCGAATTGCAGCCAAGTTAGAACTGAATTATTTTGTTGAGTTGTTATGAACCGGTATAGTTGCTATTTAGTCAACGATACCACTCGCATTGATACTTAGCTTTCACTCAAGAACTCATCGTTTAGCCAATGTATTCAATGAATTTAAAACAATACATATGTTGTAAGTTCACACTAGAAACTAGTATTATAGATAACAGTGCGTTAGTATAGATCTGCTCTCTATCCATTGATTTGTTTTGTACATAATATCATCAACAGCAACGTAGAACTTTGCAAGTAAGTACCCCGACCGTAGCTGCTAACTTGACGTAGTGGTTCGGCTTCCCTATCGTGATGACCAAACCGAGCTATATTGGCTGAAACATATGTTCCTGAAGGTTCTACAATGCCAGGCAGGTCGATTGGAGAACGATGAGACTAAAAGCAGCTGCTCAAGGTCTGAGGGCGAAGTCGTATTGCTGACTGCAGAGGGGTGTGACAGCAATAAGGTGTTTCCGTCGGACAACCAGCATCTGCAGTGATGCTGCCTTGTTACAAGGAAGGAAGGGTTGGAAAAGGTCGACCCTAAAATGTCACGCCTCACCCTACCTCACGGATTTCCGTCTCCGGCGGTAAGGGTGCCCACTAAGGGCCTTTAAGAGCCGAGCTAATACTCCAAAAACCTTTCATAAAAAGGACGTGTGTGACCGGCCTCAAGCAGTTGTCCCTTGGGCTCTGTTGTTACGCTCCCAGGTCTTCAAGACCAAAACTAATCTGCCTTCCTATTCAGGTTCCTCAAAAAGCACCATTCCACGGTGTGAGCAGCCGGGAAGTGACAACAGCCCTCATACCCTAAACAGCACGCGATACCGAATCGGCCATAATCAAATCCTTACTACACCCCCAATTATCTCTCTTATCTCCACGACTAACTCTTCTTACATTATCACACTGCACCGCTAATGCAAACGATGCGAGTTCACGAAACGTCATTCCTGGTCTCATGAAACATCGTTCTAAATTGCATGTAGGAGCATTTAATGTACGAACATTGTATCAAAAAGGGCGACAGGCTTCCTTAGCTAGGACTTAAGAATCTCGCGCCATCGATGTATGCTGCGTTACCGAAACACGCATACAGGATCCTAGTAAAATTATTAATTTGATTTCACCTTGTCAAAATAAAGAACCAACTCTACTCTTCGTGTATCTGGAAGCCCTGAAGCTGCTTCCCAAGGTCTCGCTGATGTAGGTGTAGCACTGAGTCGTCGGGTAGAACTAGCTCCCCTAGACTGAATTCCAGTAGATAGTCGCTTGTGCGCTGTCCGACTCAACGGGACAGTAAGGACTCGGAAAATAGGGAAACTCGCCGTTGCTTCTTCGTCGTATCTGCCTACGCTCCCACTGACTGCAAACCAGACGATGTGAAACATGAGTTTTACAGAAAGCTTTCGGACCTCCTCCAAAAAGCTAGGCGCTCTGATACAGTAATAATGGCTGGTGACTTTAATGCTCAAGTAGGTAGACTAAGTGAAAATGAAAGACACATGGGTGGATCTTATGCTGTCGCGGCTCAGAGAACAGATAATGGCAACCGTCTGTTGCAACTGTGCTTAGATAACCGCCTATTTGTAGCAAACACTAACTTTACGCATCAGGAAAATAATCTCCTGACATGGCGAACCCCTACGTCGTCTCAACGTTGGACCCAACTAGATTACATTGCCATCAGTCATCGACATAGAGGTTCGATAGAAGACTGTCGCTCGTTCTGAGGCACATGTTTAGATTCAGATCATGCTCTAGTGAGAGCGCGTATATGTTTGAGGCTTACTGGATGTAGGAAAGACACCTCAAGGAAACCTCTTCGGGTTCTACCTAATGATAACAGAGCTATGAAACGGCAGTGATATCTGCTAGTAAGGTAAACCATAAGGATAGAATGAAGCCGTGGATCTCAGTAGCATCTACTGAACTGATGGATGCTCGAAAACTTATCCCACCTGGCTCTGAACATGATCAAGAGCGAAGTCAGCTTAGGCGCAGGCTGATAGAAAGCCTACGCAACGACCGCGAACAGTGGTCGGTGGAGAAAGAGAGAGTGATGGAAAATGCAGCGGCAGTAGGCAAGAGTAGGCAACTATTTAGACTAATCAAGGAAACCAGTGTTAGAAATCCATCTGTTAGCGAAACTATATCAGGAAAAGACGGCTGTATCATTCATTTCCAATCCGGGAGATTAGACCGATGGGCCTTCAGTTACACTACGGTTGCCCACGATCCCCAGTCATCCTGAATGGCAAGTCGATGTAAGCCCTCCAAATCTTTATGAAGTTGAGGAAGCTATAGAAAATCTAAAGCGAGGTAGAGCAGCATGTCCTGATAGACTGACCCCTGAGATTTTTAAGGATGGTGATCCAGTTTTAGCAGCTAGATTTACTGGGGTAAATTTTAGGAACTGGACGTAAACCCATCCGACTGGTAATCCTTTGGAGCCTTACTAGAGCTCGTAAAAAGCAGACTAGAGAAAACCAGGCTGGTTTTCGACCTAACGTGGTTGTATAGACCACATCTTCACACTACGACAGGTACTGGAACACAGACACACATTCAGACGTCCGAAAATGGTTGTTTTCTTGGACCTTAAGGCAGCATTTGACTCAGTGGATCGTGAAGTTCTGTGGCAGTATCTGTCATTGAAAGGTGTACTAAAGAAGTACATTGACCTTATACTAGCTCTCTACTCGAACGCCACTGGTCGAGTGAGAGCTTATGGCGAACTGTCACCGTCAGGGATGTCCACTCTTTCCATTCTTGTTTAACTTTGTCGTAGACATCCTCTTAGAAATAACCTTATCTTCACCTGAATTTTCAGGAGTAGACCTTCTACCACAAAAATCGCTTGCTGACTTAGAAAATGCCGATCACATAGTTCTATTCGGTAAAGGTGCCGACAAAATGCAGTCTTCTGAATACCCCAAGCAACAATGCAAGCATGTTCGAGATGCGGTTCTCACCCTCAAAATACAAAATTTTGCTTCAAGATTGGGTTGCATCGGCACCTGAACTAGTGATAGGGAGTAAAGTAGTCGAACATGCAGACCGCTTCACTTATCTGCGGAGTCTGATCACTGCTGATGGCCTGGTGACTGACGAAATCTCAGCTCGGATGCAGAAGGCTCGACTGGTCTTTGCCAATTTACGTCAATTATAGCGCAGGAGAGATATCCGTTCGCTAACCAAAGAACGGGTGTACTGAGCAGAAGTTCGTTCCGTCCTACTATATGGATGCGAAACATGGCCGTTAAGAGTAGATGTTCGTATGTTACCAGTATTCGATCATAGATGTCTGAGAAGCATTGCTCGTATACCGTGGGACAACCGAGTAAGCAATGCTGTCGTTAGGAAACGAGTTCTAGGTAAGGATGGCAGATCAATAGATGAAGTATTGAAGCTTTATCAGTTGAGGTGGTTGAGACATGTGTTACGTATGCCTAACCACCGACTGCCTCGACAAACTATATTTTGCGGTGTAGGAATAGGTGGACGAAAGCTAGGGGCGGCCAGACCAAAACATGGCAGAAATCCATGAAGTCATTGACAAGTGGACTGAGTCATATCGGTAGGTGTCGACTACCTGGTTGGGGTCCGCGAGATGTTAGTAATTGATGATTAGGGACCCTGAATGACATGGCTTAAAACCGTTTGCAATGGCGCCGGTGCATTTATTCTTTGTGTTCTCTCAAATCCTAATATTCTGGATTCGTCAACACCTCTACTTTTGTCTTTCTAAAGCTGTCTCACTGAACTATACTTCTTGAATAATATCTTCAAATTCTTATCTTCTCCATTACCGGTACTACTCCTACTATCTCTACCACTATGGGATTTGAATCGACAGTTGAATCTGTGTGCTTACGTACTTACGTACGAAGTTCTACGTTGCATCTGACTGACTGACTGACTGCACATAAGTACGGCAGTTCAAGTTGCCATACAACATTAGCACAGAGTTATAATTGTCAATTCAAAGCCCATAGTAGTAGAGGTAGTGAAAGTATTAGAAATAATTGGAGAGACTAGGGTTTGAAGATGTTATTATAATTAAGAGGTAACTTTAGAAAGAGAAAGAGGTGATGGGGAATTTAGGTTTGAGGTACTTACTTGTTTACGTGATAAATCTAACCCACCCATTTGCTTTATAAATGCTACGAAAGTCCATTTTTGTACACGCTATGATGAAGATGTGCATCTGTTTATAATGTCTTAAGAATTTATTATAATGAGTGGAATTGACATTATTCAATAAATTTACTGACAGTTCAAAGCTTAACATAGCTTAAAATTAGTGACACAAACCAATAAGTTTGTAAGCAGATGTATACAACATACTACTTAACTTACTTCGCGCCTCCTCATTAGTTCTGATTCATCCACATCTTCTTCATCAGCGTCTTCCCCATTAGAATTCTGAGGACTTTCTTCACTATAATGACCAGATTTTCTGTACTTCTTGTGACGAGTGACCCTATCAATCTCCTCTTCCTCCTCACTGCTTTGGCACAGTTGATCCTATAGAGGTAACCAACATGAAACTTTTATAGAAATATGTTTTGAGGTTGGTGATAAACCAATGTTTAATTTGATAACATTAAGAAATTAAGATATTTATTGTCAGGTCCAGCTACAGAATTGCTCCGAGATTATAGAGTTCATTAGCAACGCTTAAGCATGTTCTGAATATGAAGAAGTAATTTTTTAAAAGAGCAGATTTTTCGGGCATACATTGGTGTGTAATATTATTTAAAGCAGTCATCGGAATATTTTCAATGAAATAAAAACACTGCCTTTGAATTACAAGATATTAGATGCCTAAGGTTATGCAAAATTCAAGAGCAATGGAGAATATTCAGCATTACAAAAATGGAGTTCAGGAAGAATGTACGTAATAAAGGAATTGAATCATTCCAAACGTGAACCTTACATTTTTGAAAACATCCTCACCTCACGTTTATGCCTAATAGCTGGCATTATCAAACAAACGGATTGAAACGAACACCTTATTGAAAACATTATTACATACCTTGGCTCTTAAAAGTCTTCTGAATCTAGGGTCAGCCAGCTCTTCAGCGGTTGGTTGATCAGCACTGTCATTTGTTGACTTGACGTTTTCCTGACCTCTGAAACGGTCCCTGAGTAACCCGGGCCGCGATGAGAAAGCTTTGATTTCTTCGGTATCATTGACAGTTGGTTCTTCTTCTGATTCAGAACTTGAGCTTGAAGCAAAATCAGGTTTCTTCCCGGCGACATAGCGCTGAACTTTCACCTTAACCATATAAAATTGACCTAAAAGTCAGTAATGTAGCTTTACTAAACCTTTTTCATTTTTAACAGGTACTGCACCTGCAGTAGAGTGAACTTGAGATATATTCTGTAAACTCTGCATTTTTGTCACACCATTAAACGATCCGCGCGACCTCTCAAGGGCGGTTTGCTGAACATTCAAGTCAAGATAAATTCAAATACTTGTCCGAAAGAAAAGATTTTATCGTCTTCAGTGCTTATCAGCAACAGACAGAAGTTAATTCTACACGAGGACAAAACGATACGACATCAACTAGTGAGAGCAGTTGAGGAAATATATTCTGTTTAACTCCTAGATGCATGGTAGACTGAGTGACTGAATAAGATGGTCAACCAGTCTGTCTAAACTGTCTTTCATTATTTCAGCTGGTTGGGCTCTAATCACGCGTTAATCTCGTAACTTTTATTCGTCCACGATTTGACGGGCAAGTTAGCCGTGTTACGGTGCTTAACATAGATTTATATTGTAAACAACATTTTTTGAGGTTAGTCATTTCCCTAACTAACCAGTCAAATCGTGGTTTAAGCGCTCACCACGTGATCTGGTCTGTAAAGTATCTTTGTTGCAAATGACCTAATAATTGAAGGACATTATTATCTTATTATAGTGATGTGACTCATAATTTTATTCATTTCCACAAGACAAGCTATATTAGTCGGTACGTTTGCTCGTTTCACTTGATAAATGTAATTTCCTCAATTATTGTACTCATCCAATTGTATTTATGTTTAGAAACAGATAAAGTTTAAAGTAAGTTGCCCTCGTTCTGACTATAGCTTTCCCATAGACTCTGTGTCCGCCAATATTGCGTTCAAAGTCATAAAACTACATCTGTAGGACGAATTAAATAATATACATTTATTATTTTGTTTCCCAACGGAAATAACTGTCACCACTTTATTAGTGATAAATGTTCAGTCCAATAGGGCAGCCAACTGATTTGTTGTTTATTTTGGCTGGTGTAATTTTTTAGATTGTGTAAATTCTGCTTGTAAAGCCTAGAAAAACGGTAGAATGCCAGATTTACAACTATTACTAAGTAATTGTTAGAACATTTTTTCAAGCCACCACTACTCCTTTCATATGAGAAAAAGTAGGTTTATTGTCGACAGAATCTCAAATCAACAGCTATATGATTTTGTAAATCAGTTTAGTTGCAAAGTCATAAGCTAAGCGCGGGTACAGACTTTACTTATTGAATAGAGGGTTCTAAAAAATTTAACAGAAATCACACGGAGTCCTGATCTGTTGCGAAGCCTTAAATAGCAGTGGCTCCTTCATCATTTTGTGTCTGGACGACAATTATTTCAACTTCATTCATCATGTCTGCATCTGTACCTTGGTGACCGATGTGCACTTTAATACATTTGCAGATATTTTGCACAAATTACCAATTTCTAATCCATTCTCTTGACTTTTTGGGCAGCACTTAAGCTATGAGAAACTGAAATTGACTAATCAACACATGGGAAAATCAGCATGGCCATCAGACAAATCATGCATTTTTTTACAAACTCGACTCTTTGAATTGAAATTTCGATTTTAACGTAGATAAATCCAGCTTCTTACTTCAACTTCTCTTCAAACCACTTGGCACTCCACAACTCTTCCTTCTTCATTTCTGTACTCCTTCAAATGTAGGTTTACTTTAATTTACCTTTAGTGGTATGTATGAATTTTATCTTGACTTATCACGGCATTGACTACTTCAACATAACAGGTTAAGTAATGCTTTGGTTAAATTATATACACTTGCCACGCTGCTGCCTTTTTTTTCTCGCTCTTTCCTCCCTTTTTAGAACCTCATTCACGGTGGGAAATCCATGGCGCCTCTAGGGAACATGCACCCTAAGTACATGCATGTCTGGATCACAGCTCGTATCAAGTGCGTTCCAGTTGACCTTTCCCAACAAATTCACTGTCGATCTCAGCACACCGCTAAAGAAACCTACTGTTCACCTTCTTATTTGTGCTCTCCTATTGAAAATATAGCTGTATTATACTGTTTCTGTCATTGACATGGTGTAAATGAGCTATCAGAAACTGACTCTTATACTTAATTTAACTGCTATAACTTTACAGTAAATGTGAAAGCATTTGTGACGATTTGATCTAGCCTGTAAACTGGCATGCCGCTTGTAACGTAGTTATTTGAGAATAAATATTATTATTATTTTGTGTGATTAAATAGCAGGGTCAGACTGCACTCCAACTCAGTCGCTGACACGAGACATAGCAGTAAATGCAGAGATGTTCCAGACTTTGTTCTGCAAGATATTGGAGGAAGAACAAGTGCTGACGGACTAAAGGGAGGGATTTCTACCGAAGATGCCAAAGAAAAGAGAACTAAGCAAGTGTTAGGAATACGGGAGCATCACTCTATTCTGAACACTATTAAAGATTCTCAACAGAGTGCCGCTAAACAGAATTAAAGATTCTGTAGACGCCCAACGTCGAGGACAACAGGCTGGATTCTCGGGATGGATAACTTTCAGGACCCAGGAAAGCATTTCATTACAACTTATTGAAATTTTAATTTTAGTGATCAAAAATATTTAGGTCCTCATCTGGAGGCTTTGGGGACTCACTACCATTAGGTGTGGAGCCCATAAAGTGAGAACTCTTATTTCGTCGACAGTCATTCTCGATATCTTTTTCACTAGCTTATACAAACCACTGTATTTTTGAGCTCCATTCCTGTCCTTTTGTTAGGGTTCCATGTGCTTAGTTCGATTAGGACCGCTTTTTCAAAGGCCAGAACGTCTCGAAACTGAAGCCTTCCTCTAATGAGGGTATCACTAGACTTAGCACAACTTATCAAAGACATCCTCCTCTCATGCCAGAGACCCTCTGCTAATCTGTCCTCCCTAATTCTCATCAGGCACGGTAAACATTGGTCAGCACGAGCGGAAGCCAGGGCATCCCAAAGATCCCAAGAGAAGACGAGTATGGTAGTTAAAGTCGTGCCCAAACTGGCTGGTGGTGGCTTGGACGAAGCTCAAGTGCTTGATGTGCAAAACTGGCAATGGCTCTCACGTTGCCTGGGCCTTCATACCACGATGTTGATTCTGATTTCTAGGCTGCTTTGTCCGTCACATCTCACGTCCATTAAGTCACCACGTCTGATAGCTGTGCAATTCAGGAATCAGGAAGACCTAACTGTTGCGCTTCAGGCTTGGTAATGCTGGAAGAACAACCTCTCTAGCCACATTAAGTGTTGCGAAAGTCGACCCAGTTCCGTAAGACAAGAAGGGAGGCCGAAATAAACTCACAAAATTGACAGTTGACTTCAATCAACAACCCTCATAACGAGGCGCGAAGATAAAAGTCTCTCTCAGGCAAACACCTATAGAGACCAGTTCCCAAAGAACTGGCCAACTCGGTTTGAAAAACTTTCTTGAAAATCTGACAACGACTGTTGCTGCAGCGGTGCACCAGTTGATGAGACACACCACCGACTGCCTCTGTAGCGACCTAAGAGAACTTAGGGGTAAGCTGTTAGAAATCAGGAAAACGTGCCTTCAGAAGGACCTGAAGATCATAATCCTAACTGAAGCCGACATTGTCAAAGATGAAGTGAGCTTGCAAGGCCAGAAACCCTTCCGATGCGACAGGGTACACCAAACAGGAGGTGGAGTGGCTATATATAAACAGTCACTTAAAGGCCGAGCGGCTATACGATACCCAAATAAATGAGGTGAAAGAATCATGTTAGTATTGTTTCCACACAAATGGCACAAAATAGTTTATTGGAGGGATTCGCCGACCCCTCAGGTACTAAGGCCAAGTAAGACAAACTGACTGAGACAATACTGCAACTGCTACTCTTTGGGTTCCGCAAATACTCTTAACTGGAGATTTCAAAACCACATCTCTATATCAGCGTACAACTCCCAGGGGTTGGTTCTAAAAACGACTCGGATCAGCCATTAGAATCATCGGGCTTACTGAGCATTATGCGGTGCCACTAGATAGACTAAGGAGGAAAAATCCTCCAACCTGGATTATCTACCAACATATGATCAGCTTCTGTTCGAAGACGTTCACGTCCATGCACCAATAAGAAGTAGTGACCGTGGCACAGTCTGTAAAATCTATTTTGAAGGCCTTATTTTTGGAAAATCCCTCCATATATATATATTTGCGTTATGATCTGACTGACTCTTTCTATTCGATATTTTGGTACTTTATTTGATCCCATTTTGGGTTTTATCATTTGTATCTTGTTATTATTTCTATATCTTGTACTTATATTGAAGTTTCCATGTTTCCCTCTGAACTATATATGTGTTGTTTAAAATTGATACTTAATATAGCTACAGCCATTTTCGGATTTGATACTCTAGCAGCAGCTCGCTGCAACTAACTGGAAGCACTTATTATTCCAGTATCGGAACTTATTGTTGTGATTAGAAACTCGAAGGTGTAATATTGTCTTGGCAATTGTCTGAATTTCCTTTTTTGATTAAATGTAGAACCGTTCTTTCCCAGATTTGTTGTTTTTGAACTTGGACTGGGCGAGACGCGTGTGAACCTACACCTATTTGGATTCAAAGCTCGCCGTGAGAGTAATAAATATTTCTACACAGTCCTGCTTAACATATTCATAAAAGAAACACTCACACAGGACGATAACAAGCCCTACTTTTGTTACTCAAGAGCGAGTTACGCGCTCATGCGAGAGAACTTTCTACTTCCCCCATGGCCACGGGAGTAGCGGAGGTTGACAGTAGATGATCAGTGGTAAACATTGAGAGACATAATCCGGAATGCTGTCTTAGGCGACGTACCCCAGTCACACCACACACACGGAAATAGAACGTGTGTTAGCTACGGCACTGAACGCTTGCTACAGGCGAAGAGGAGAGGCTGGAACAAGTGGAAGGTCTCCTTGAAGGATTCTGATCTTAGTTCTTACTTGGCATTGAAAAACAGATGCAATATCAAAATTCAAAGTGATAGAACACGACTCCGCATGAAGCTAGCCACTACAGACAAAGCATAGGCGTCTGTTCAGGTCTATGACTAAAAGAAAACCCAGGAATCAGGGTTTGTGTTCGCTGAAAAATCCGAATAGGGAAGACCTCATCAACCTAGAGATGGCTGAGATCTTTAACACAAATTTCACCGATCAGTTAATATAGGTATCCACATGTTCAGAGTACTACGCAAACCCAGATGACGGCTTAGTGAATATCCGTATTACTTCTGACTTAGTACTAAGAAAACCGGAATACTTAAGCCCAGTAAAATTGCCAGGTTGACAAATTATTTGCCTCAGGTCAATATTTGACCTGCTTAGGGATTCACTGGAGTCATACCAACTTCCTGCTGAATGTAAACTTGCTACTCTCTCTACGATCTCCAAAGGAGGAGATAGGAAGGACCCAGTCTGTTACAGACTAGTTGTATTACTACCAATACTATCGAAAGTAATGGAAGGGCTGGTGGACGAATAAATGAGAGAGTAGATGGATGAGAACAAAATACACCATGAAACCAAACGTGGATTTCGGAAAGGCAGGTTATGCGCATCCAATCTTCTCATACATGGGACAGTTGGACAACTGCTGGGGCCAAAGCATACAGGTGCGTATAATATTTGTAGAATAAGAAAAATCATTCGACATTGTACCCGACGCACTCCTAATCGCGAGGGTTGCGGATATGAGCTCCACTAACCCACTCGTATCTTGGCTCAGAAACTACACTGAGAATAGTAAGTTTCGTAGCAAGGCAAATAGAGTGCACATGAAATGGCGGGTCTCAACATCGGTAGTTTTACAGGGAACCATCTTGGGTCTTTCTGATATTCATTGACGACCTGCTAGATACAGTTAGCTCAGCGGCATTGATCTGAAGGTCTTTTAGAAGCTAAGATGATTCGAGTGAGCTTTAAACGGACCTTACGTCCACTGAGGAATGGGCAGTGAAGAACGGTTTAGAAATAAACCAGCCGAGATGTCACGTCATGTACATTCTGCTCCCTATGAAGCAAACCACACACCCTCAGTGGGAGTCCGTTTCGTAATGTCTCCTCAGAGTGCGATCTCGGTTTACTAACAACGGGAGGCTTCCAACCCAGCTCCAACTTTATGGGGAACCCAGCCAAGACAAATGCACTTCACTTTATCCGAAGACTACTTGATGCTATCACCTCAGAATTATTTTTAACGTTGTTTAAGACATATGCACGCCCACAACTTAAGGTTCACAATGTCGTCGCCCCACCTCATTAAAAGCAACGTAAATCTCTTGGATTGAGGGCAGAGACGAACAATGAAATGGGTGATAGGGTTAAAGAAAAAAACTTAACAAGATAGAACTAAGCACTTGTAATTAATTACCCTGATTGACAGGAGAATCACAGGTGATTTGATTATGGCGTACAACAGATTAAGCATTCCAAACCACCCAGATTTGATCACCTTATCGAGGCATCACCATCACTCCCCTCAAGGCAATCCTTGAAAAATTACTCATCAAAGAGTGAATACTCAGGCTCGTGCAAGACTTTCTGGACGATATGGTGACAAAATTTACGTTGGTTCGAAATAACTACTTCACGTTCACGGAAATGAAAATGTAATACAGGCGCGCTTTACAGAAGTGTTGCTGGATCTGCTCGGAGACTTTGAACTATCTTTTGCTAGTTCCGATTTTCATATTTTCGTAATCAGAGGCATGTGCTGATGCTGTTCGTTGATTTCCTCTAACGATGTAAGTGCATTACATTCTCTTGTTGGTTGGTTCCATTCTTTCATTGTTATATTTTCCGACTCTCCTTACCCACGCTACTCAGCCTGGATCCTTAATACACAACGTACATACTGGTTAAAGAAGAGCTGCTGAGTGTTGCTGACTGCCCTAAGCATATTGGCCTGGTATAAGGGTTCTCTTGGAAGTTTGGTTTACATATATCTTTTAAACCTAAATCTCCCCATTTGGATGATTGGATTGTTAGGTTGTAAGATGTATTTCTAATAATACCAAAGCTCCGCAATCTAAATTATCACTGGTGTTTGTTCCAAACAAGCGTTTAACATTATGATGACTCAAGTTACTGTTTGTATCAAAGTAGTCTAGTATCAAATAAAAGCGGGAATATCCAGTGATCATTTTCTAGCTAGGCATTGAGCTTCTTCACCTTGCCATGTTTAACCAATCAATTCACTCCAATACTGACTGATAAAACTTAAGAATATCTTAAAATGGGTTGTAAATAAATCTTCATTTCTGTTAAAATGTGCATTACAACTTGAAATCATTAGATTTGTTTACTTTCACGCATATCTTATATACCTAATGTGCGCATTCTTAGTATCGTCCAAACGCTTTTGTATTCCAAATTTTTCCGAATAATATCGATTTTCTTACAATGTAACTTCCTAAACTTTTAGTTTTTTAACTGTAACTGAGACAAACAATTGTCGTTCCTCTCATATCAAGGACTTCTATGTATTATATGCCAAAAAGCCACGGCTTGCACAAACTTTTACGATTCGAGTTCATGTTATGACAATACTATGCAATTCATGCAACACATAAAGTGTAGGTTCTTAAGTGGGTTTAAACTACTCGTATTTTATGCAACGATTTGTGATACAGCGTGGTTGCCTCATTCGAAGTAAATAAACAAGTTTTTGTGCATATGACATAATGATTTAGAAGCAGTAACTATGGAATAATAATTCAAGCTATTCAAGTATTATTGTTGATTCTTAAAAGTTGTTACATGTGGATTTTTCTGTAGTATTAAGTATTCTTGTCTTGCAAAGCTTCTTTTGTCTTTCTGAACATCAGCACTTCTGCTAGAGATCTCAACATTGATAATAAATACTATCAATTTTTCCTTGTCTTTTCTTAAAACTCCCATATTATCACATTATCATTGCAGTCTATTGATGCCTGGTTCATTTTATTTATTCAGTGCGTTATATGTACAAAAATTAGCACTTACTGATGGTTTGTCTGTATATTATGGACTTGTAATATTTTAATGAAAAATAACTTATGCAAGTCGCTTCTTCAGGGATAAAGTCTGCACGATTTTACACTTACATGTATTGTGGAATGAATTTGATCATGTAGACTGTAGAACATAGTCATTTTACACTAAGCTTCAGAGTAGAAATGTACCTAAATGTGACAATGATCAGTTGTATTATAAAATATATAGCTGAGTAATTCACCTCATTTTTTGTTACAAAAACTTAATCTTCTGTCAAGAATATTGTTACAAAATTAATTTCATCTGTGTTTGTAAGCAGTCTTTATGGTGTACATGTGCATTTCCGTACTCTTCAAATAATAGATTTTAAGATTGGGAATCTTGTTTCAACGTATGCTTAATTAAATTAATTATGGCTTTACCATAATCTCATCGTCGTACGTGACACTAAACACTTGAAAATAAGTTAGTCCTCACATGCCATGAAACAGTGATATTCATTTACGTTTAGTAGCTTTAAACTCCATTTATGATCGTGGAGTTGTAGAGCTCTATTATTTAGTGCTGAAGACTCGTATTCATTGAACCGGAACGGAAAAAGTTATTAGTCATCGACTACCGTGTTAAGAACTATGGGTTCTCATGTGAGTTTCTTCACAGTGACTAATGAATTGTAATAAATACATGAACCATATTAACTTTTCGTTCTCCATTTAACCTGCTTTTATGTCTATTGCTTTTCGTTCTTTGGTAGTTTCATGTTCTTGTCGTAAGTTGTCCACATAGTTTGCTTCTTTTCGTCGACTTTTTTTGTTGTTGAGAAACTATGTAACTTGAAAGATGGATTGTTTTTTAAAATGTATGTTTTTATGTCTCACGCTTAAAATCACATCACATTTAAAAACAATTATGATAAATATTTTGATCATGAATGATGTATGTGATTTATTTTTTAATCCATGCAAATAACATATCTACTGCAATTTGTTTTAGATTTTAAGTGGTTATATAAATGCCAAATGTTGATGTTAATGAAAATGTACTGCGTGTACTTGTGTCCACAGATAACCATGTAGGGTATGCCGAAAAAGATGGTTTAAGGGGTCAAGACTCTTTTCGAACTTTTGAGGAGATTCTACGTCTTGCTGTTTCAAACGATGTGGATTTTATCCTACTTGCTGGTGACATTTTTCATGAGAGTCGACCTTCAATGCGATCTCTACATGAAGTAATGCGTTTACTTCGTATGTATTGTTTGGGGAGTAAACCAGTCCAATTTGAACTTCTTAGTGAAGCTAAAACTATATTTGCCAACACATCATTTCATACTGCAAATTATTTAGATGGTAATCTAAATGTTGGGATTCCTGTGTTTACCATTCATGGAAATCATGATGATCCTTCAGGTCCTGGTGGTTTATGTGCAGCTGATTTACTGCATACTGCTGGTTTGATAAATCTTTTTGGAAAGTTCTCTTCAGTAGAACGAATAGATTTGACTCCTGTTTTGCTACGCAAAGGAAACACTCGTGTGGCGTTATATGGTCTCGGATCTGTACGAGAAGAGAGGCTTCATCGATTATTTTTGAATGATAGTGTTACATTTTACCGTCCTACTGAGTGTGTGGATGACTGGTTTTCAATTTTTACGGTTCACCAAAATCGTGTTCATCATGGTCCTACAAGTTATCTACCCGAAAACTTCCTCCCAGATTTTCTTGATCTTGTTATTTGGGGCCATGAACATGAGTGTCGTGTAGAACCCGAATGGAACTCTTCTAAAAACTTTTATGTTGTTCAGCCTGGCAGTTCTGTAGCTACTGCTCTTTCTGAAGGTGAAGCACAAAATAAAGCTGTTGCATTGTTGGAAATCAGAGGTAAAGAGTTTAAGGTTAGTTCTGACTTTCACATAACTTGAATATCTGTATTTTAGTTTAAACCGTTCGTTATGTAATGCATGATAGTTAAGTATATATTTCTTGAGGTACAACAAATGACCTATCTTGTGCATGATGTGTGTTACGCATTAGTTTTCCTTTTGTCACCCATCTCCCCAATCGTTTGTGTGTTTGCGGTCATCTAGCAGTAATTTTTATATTATTTAGAATAAAACGATTAGTTTTTTGATTTTAGTTTTCTCCATTCCTAAAAAAAGCAAACATTAAATCACTTATAAAATTTACAAACCCTATATTGTGTTAGCATTGGGAAATGTTGTTTTGCAAATAGCCTGTAGGAATTAGGAGTATTTGTATAATCAGACTGTTTCCTATGAACCAGCTGTTTGTCAGCCTGCTGATCAGCCTAAGTATTACTCCATTATTTAATCAACTTTATGTAATCATTTCTAAAATATAAGGCGGTGATAGATATCCTTGTTCGAATAGAGAGGTATAAATACATTGTAAAATAATAATTGTTAGATATCTCGGCGTTTTTTTTATTGAGTCAAAATGAATTGCTTAACTCTTCATGAATCAAAGTAAATAAATCTCGTCTGGTCACTAAATTATTGTCATATATTCAAATTGGTGTAAACTGTGAGCCGAGTTTCCAATTTTACTGCTGAATAGGTAGGTCAAGATTTCTCACTGTCAGGTATTTTCCTCCCACCCTATTTTTTTGTTATCCTGTTAGATTTCGATGTGGGCGACTAATTCAGCACTTCATGCAATAACAATTTTAGTATGTTCACATCCTTTATCCAAAACTTAGTGTTTTTCTCATGCTATGTATTTAGTATCCGTTAAAGCCGGATTTATTAATTATGAACAGCTTCCAGATTATTTCATTGTAACAAATCCCTGCTGCAAAATTATGAGTTTCTTGATTAAAATTTCTTTATAAACCAAGAATTATAACGTTTCCTTACTTTTCATCTTATAAATAAATGATTAGAAATGTACAATAGATGGATCTACGTTACATAAACTGAATGCTTTTATGTAGCGAAATAAAGATTGCTAACAATAAATCATCATGTAAATGCAGTACAGATGGTATATATATATATATATATATATATATATATATATATCACAATTTTTTAATTTTATATAGTCGTGTATCTCTTTTTTTTTCTAGGTCAAACGTCTACCTTTGCGTACTGTCAGACCATTTTTATTTAAGGATTTAGTTTTACAAGACTATGTACCAAAGCTGGATCCAAACGCTTTCGATATTACCAAGCGAATCGAGTCAATATGTGATAAATTTATTGAATCAGAAATAAGCAAGGCCGTAGCTTTTTCGTCTGAGGCTTTAGCAAGTGAACTAAACGCTGATGCTAATAAATCAACTAATGCAACAGAATATGAGTCTAACGAAAATATCAAGATAATATCAACTCAGCGATTACTTCCTCCAGTCGAACCACTTATACGATTACGCGTAGATTTAAGTGGTGGTTTTGAGTCATTCAGTGGACTTAGATTCGGTCAAAAATTTGTTGGTCGTGTGGCCAACCCTAAAGTAAGAATTTAGCATTTCGTTATTTCATACTTTCAGCTTTAAAGTTCATGGTATTTCCTTCTGAAAGCCTATCCACAAGTTACATTAATTCTACAAATATTTTACTTAGTCTTCTTACGGTTAATTTGGTACCCTTACATACTTCTGTTTAATATGTTTTACTCCGTATTATTACTTGAAAATATTTTGTTTTGTAGAGTGTCACAAAAACACAACTAATCAGAAAAGCACAACATAATGTGGATTTTAGGTTCTCAGGTCAAAACTTTTTCTATTTAGTATTTAGAAAAATAGTGTGATCATCTTCAGATTTAAAGTTTTCACAGTTCTAAATCTCAGCTTAGTTATACCAATTCTGTGGAAAGGAAGGGGTACATATGTAACTGACTGTAAAACTTGCACACTTAGTCTGCTAGAGTGAAATTACTGCGTTCATTTCTTTTCATATAAAAATCATATTGGTTTATTGCTTAATGTAAACGTCAGTCTATGTATGCTGGATGTAGTCTAGCGCATACATTTTAAACTAAACTAAAAGGTTCTCAGAAAAATAAGAAATTAGGCTGTCCAAAAACATCGATTTACCAAGCTCAGTAATGTGAATATGAAGTGACTCAAATGACCTAGATGTGTAAATTCTTTTGAATAAACTGCTAGATAAGGTTTGATACATAAACGAATAAGGGCAGAATCAGTAATGATCATGTTATCTAATACCGCCTGAGCTCAATAGTTGTAAGAATCTGATTTGTTTAAGATTTAATGCTCGAAATTTTGGCAGATATTAGTGTGCTTGTTACTTGTAGGCATTAATTTATCAAGTTATTTGTTGTAACGCTTGCTCAGATATTCTCTAGCTAAATCTTATTGCTTAGTATTCTTTGACACAAAACACTGGACAAGTCCCCCAAATCAAAACACGGTTGAACAGGAAAGATTATATTCCAAAATAGCAAGGAATAAGAAGCCGGAGGTGATGGCGAAAGCCAGGGCAAAGAAAGCAAAAATAAATACAACGCCAGTCTATTTATAGCCTTTACATGAGAAAGCTTCTGGAAGAAAATTCACGTGATCGGCTGGATTAGGTTTAACCGATCAGCACGCAGCTAATAATACGAGGATTTTCTGTCCTGTTCTCCAAGCTTCGATCAGGCGCTGATTGGATAGGAGATCAGCCAATCAGCGCGTAGCGACGTAGTCATGCTTTAATTCCATCTATGTCCCACTAACACCTCCCCTTTGAGATTCTTAGGATCTGGTGCTAGGGTCCAACTGCTTCCTGGGTGCCTTGCCACCCGTACTCTTACGAGCCGCCTGCTTTGTAGGAACCATATCTTTAAACAACCGTCGATTGGTCTGCTTCCCCACCGATAAGTTTCGTTGAGGCTCATGAACAGCATATGGTATAGGGCGTCTCGGACGTGAAGTAGGTTTGGCATCTACTTTCGCTGGTAGGTTAGCTTTCAGATTCGTACAGCGGCCAAAGCTATTCTGAGAAACAGAGGCCGACTTCCTCGTTCGTTTATCTTGTAAGCTTCCACCTGTCTTCTTTTTAAGTATCGGGGTGTCCAATGATGAACACGATACGCTGCAGACACTGTTAATGGGTAAATCCATTATTCCCAGTTTTTCTAGCATATCTAGACCAAGAAGATCAAGGTTTGGCCGTTCTGTCAGATAGCATATTCCTGTACATTTTGTCCCGTTGAAAGAAAATTCACACTGTATCTCACCAACCAGTTTTAACACCCCGCCTGAAGCGCTTTTAGCTGTTTTCTTAGGTGGCTTCATTGGCGGTTTTCCCAGCAAGTTGTACGTTTCTCTAGACATTAAGGTGATATCAGATGCCGTGTCGATTTGAAAACGAGCTGATGCACCGTTCATCTGGATAGTCACATACTTTCTCCGAACGTCATAGTCTGTTTGGAAAGCAGCTACGAGAGAAAGTGATTTAGACTCGGCTAATTTCACCACATGTCGAGTACGTTTGTGCTTCTTCTTGGGCTGAGACGTACGATTTGGTTGACAATGGCCTTCTTTATGTTCACGTTTATTGCACATCAGACATATGTTTTTTAAATGGACAAAACCGCTTCCTAACGATAGCATTGCCTACTCGGCTGTCCCACGATACTCGAGCAATGCTTGGAAGACATCTAGAACCAAATATTAATAACCTACGAATATCTTTTAATCTGACTTGCCATGTTTTACTGCATTGCTTACTCAGCTGTCTGACGATACTCGAGCTATTCTTCGGAGACACCTATGATCGAAGACACGCAATTTCCGATTGTCCTCTAATCTCACCGCCCATGCTTCGCATTCGTATAGTAGGACGGAGCGGACTGCTGCGCAGTACACTCGTCCTTTGGTTAACAAGCGGATATCTCGCCTACGCCATAGGTCACGCAAGTCGGCAAAAGCCAATGGAGCCTTCTGTATCTGTGCTGAGATTTCGTCAGTCACCAGGTCTTTTGAGAATCGATCTTTAACGTTCTCATTGTAGTCGTTAGTAGGTGCGTAGAATTAGATTTCGTTCATTGTAATGTTCTCTTTCTTTGTTTCGAAGGATGCTTTGTTGATCCTGGGTTCATGAGACTCCCATCCTATCAGTGCTTTTCGAGCTTGTTTGGACAGCATCAATGCAAGTCCGTGTATGTGTGAGGCATTTTCTTATTCATGGTCTGAGTATTACAGCAGCTCTCTCCTGAAGATAGTTTCAGTTATCTAACTTGCGTCCAATATGCTTCACTGATTTCAAGCACCTCGAGGTTGTATCTTTTTATTTCTGCAACAGCTTGTAATGGTCTTCCGGTCTCCCACAATGTTTGAATGTTCCACGGAGCTGAAAAAATGGTTTCTCTGGTTGTCATAAGGGGCATCGGCTTCGTGACTCCCGAGGAAACTCGGCTTTCGTCATGAGACATCATAACTCTTCTAAATGAATTACTTTCTCTTGTTAACGTTTTTAGCGAGTTAGTTTTTTGTGAGATGGGGTTGCCAACCCCCCTCCTTTATCCAGACTTAGGACCGGCAGTAGCCCCAGAGGGGTTCCAGGCGGAGTTATGGCATTGATATACCTATGCTTAAATTGTTAAACAGGATGTAGCTAAATACAAAACAAAAAACGTTAAATCTCAATAATTCTAATTAGATTTTTTGAGCTAACATCTATCTAACGAGACAGTGTCTCTTAAAGAGCTGAATCAAAATAATTAGTGTTCACGTGCTTAACAGTTGCATTAACTTATTTAAGGATAATGTGATAATGGTTTAACTTCATTCAAGTCATGCGAATCTGTATTTATTGCAAATTGCTGCAATTATCCCCGACCGAAGCTGCTACCTTGACGTGGTGGTCGGGCTTGCCTATCGTGATGACCCAACCGAGCTATACTGGCTGGAACACATGTTCCTGCAGGTCCTACCATGCCAGGCAGGTCGATTGGAGAACGATGAGACTAAAAGCAGCTACCCAAGGTCTGAGGGCGAAGTCGTACTGCTGACTGCAGAGGGGTGTGACAGCAGTAAGGTGTTTCCCTCGGACAACCAGCATCTGCAGCGATGCTGCCTTCTCACAAGGAAGGAAGGGTTAGAAAAGGTCGGCCCTAAAAATGTCACACCTCCCCTACCTCACGGATTTCCGTCTCCTTGGGTAAGGGTGCCCACTAAGGGCCTTTAAGAACGGAGCTAATCCTCTAAATACCTCTCATAAAAAGGCCGTGCGTGACCGGCCTCAAGCAGTTGTCCCTTGGACTCTGCGGTCACGCACCAACACTAATCCATCTTCCTTTTCAGGTTCGTCAAGAAACAACCTTCCACGGTGTGGGCAGCCGGGAAGTGATAACCGCCCTCATACCCGCAACAGCACACGAGACAAAATTGTTCAAAATCAAATCCTTCCTACATTCCCTAATACCTCTCTTATCTCCACAACTAACTCTTCTCACATTCATTTATTACAGTGCACAGCTAATGCAAACGATGCGAGTTTGCGAAACGTCGTTCCTGGTCTCCTTAAACCCCGTTCCAAACTACATGTTGGAGCATTCAATGTACGGACATTGTGTCAAATAGGGCAACAGGCATCATTAGCTAGGACTTTAGAATCTCGTTCCATCGATGTGTGCTGCGTCTCGGAAACGCGCATACAGGATCCGAGTAGCATCACTCATTTGACCTCACCATGTCAAGATAAAGAAGCAGCTCGATTTACCCTTCGTGTATCCGGTAGCCCTGATGCTGCTTCTAGGGGCCTCGCCGGTGTAGGTATAGCATTGAGTCGTAGGGCAGAACAATCTCTCCTTGACTGGATCCCTGTAGATAGTCGCTTGTGCGCCGTCCGACTGAACGGGACAGTAAGGACTCGGAAAGATAGGGACACTCGCCGTTGCCTCTTCGTCATATCTGGGGGAACAAGGGCCGTTGATAGGTAAAAGAGAACAGATTATTCACAAATTCTCAGTTGCGAATTTCCAGATAGATTTCCTCCAATTGTCAGGTGTTTTAGCTCCAATATCCTTTCAAGCAATGATTCAAGTTCGACATCGCACTTCATTCACTATTTCAGAACCCTCACTAAAACAGGAGTCATACTCGCCAGTCTCAGCAAACTCAAATGGAACAGGGGAGGCCACAGGGGGACCAAAAAACACATCTGTTGTCATTGGGTGACAACTTATAAAAAGTATTCAATATTCCGCACCTTGGTTTGGCAACATTCAGTTAACAAGCAGGCCGTCACATGTCGACACCCAGTAGGAGAGCGAGATTGTTCTTTGTATTTCCCCCCTGTAAGGAAATAGTTGAGATGTGTGGCCTCTTTCTGAATAATCCCCTAGTCGAATCCCAGTCTATCTTTTTAAGGCCCTTCTTGATAAAAATAACGGTCTTATGAAAATTTTTGTAATTTAAAAAATTATGGTGGTTTTTGTAATTCTATTGATTTGGTTTGTGTTCGATTGTAGACAGAACAAGCCCTAATAAGAAACAAAGCACAAACATAAAATCTAATCAATCAATTGTTCGTTTGTTCCTCC